TGCGGCAGCAAGATTCATTTTTTATTTATCTATACTTTATTTAATTAATTATCCATTTGCACTGGCTACCAATAGCTGCTTGCATAAAATTCAAGGCATTGATGTTTGCCTACAAAACCACCACTGACTCTGCACCCCTCTACCTAAATTCATTACTTCACACTTATGTGCCCTCTAGCATCTTGCGTTCTGCAAGTGAACAACGCTTTATTGTTCCATCCCAAAGAAGCACAAAAAAAACCGACTTGCTTTCTAATCTTTCTAATCTGTTTTCTTTTCATTTATTATACAATTAACAAAAGCAAAAAGACCTCTAACACTAGCTTGCATTCTTTTTCTATTCTATTTTCTTTTTATTTATTATATTATTTAAAAAAAACCTTGCTACATGTACTGCGTTAAGCTAACCGAGACTTGTTATAGCACTTGTATGTCATTGTTCTTTTGTTGATTTTGATTGCTTCCATTGTCCTCATTTGTAAATCGCTTTGGATAAAAGCGTCTGCAAAATGACTAAATGTAAATGTAATAATGTATTTATTATAAAAATGCCTTTCATGACTTTTCCAGGTCTAGAGATCACTAGGCTTCAATCTGTTATGCTTCCTCAAGGTGTTTTCAAGTGAATGAGTTCATTCATTGAATGAATGAATGTTGAATTGTCTAATTAATATTTAAAACAAATCTTGAGCTTAGTTTATTTTAATGCTTGTTTTGTCTTATTTTAAATCCCTTTTAGTCATCTTGAGACCTTCTTGGAAGTTTGCTGAAAAATCAGAATTACAATGTTTTTTTGTGGTTTCGTGGTGAAAACTGCAATAAGAGTGGGCCTCAAAAGACCATACGATCAGTTCTTGGTCAAGATGAAAACCTGGACAACAACCCACTCCGAGACATTTCTCACATTCCCTTTAGCTGTAGGGATTTGTGTGTAATGAGAATGTATTGTTTTGTTTGTTTATTTGGTCTGTTTTTGCCATTGCCTTGTCACTAGATATGTGTGAGTGTGTGTGTGCTTTCACTCAAGCTGTCTGACAGGGGCACTGGGTGCTTGAGAGGACTTATGTCCCTTCGCTGGACTTCTGACAGCTGGATTGGCTTGTTTTCCCTCCCTTTCCCTGGAGGCTTCGCTGTCAGCTCTATACTCAGGCAGATTGTGAAGAGAGAGATTAATGGACAATGAGGATGGCGGAAAGGGAGAGACATTGAGAGAAGGAGAAGAGAAAAAAGGACGAGAGGAGGCCAACTGCCATCTGCTCATTTCCTTTTAATGGACAGAGCAAACAGCAGGAGACAGTACTGCCGACAAATCTGGATTTTCTTTATTACATGTACACACGCTCTAATTTGTTGAGGTTGACAAAGACAGAAATATGGCTACTTTTTCTTCTATTCAGGTTTTACCCTCCATTCTTCAGTTCGTTTTTTATAGAAACAAGTGTGATTTGGTCATTATCTGTCTGGCTTTCAGGCAAAATGTTAGTTGGTTTCTATTTAGCTTCCATGCTACATGAGCAGGCTATTCAAAAAGTTATTTAATAAAAATATACAATGAGTACATCAAAAAAATATGACTACTAGTTTCATATTCAGTGAATCTGAATTTGACATAGGATGTTACGTATATACAATTTGCTACTTCTAGTAAAAGATTAGGGCTGTTTCTCCTCTTTATGACACACACATAATTTCCTTTCATGAATCTGTTGGCCCTCACCACCGGCTGTGAAAGCCATACTTCCTGTTTAAATTTCATATTGTAAAGCCTATGAATACAGCCATGGAAAAGTCTAAATAGTTCTATTTAGCATTAGCAGCTAATCGTTAAATTAGAGAGGGGAAAAAGGGAAGAAAAAAAAACAAGACATACGAATTAATTCAAAAGGCCTATTGTTTAGCTTTCCATTATCACACATTTTAATACTAAAATGATACACGAGTGAACAGAATAAAACAAGGTGTTGGCTGATGAATTCAAGACTGATCTGGAATCCATTTTCCATTTCTTCCACTCACATGTGAGATTTAACTGCTCTGAGATTATGATCAAAGAGCAGTTTGTACTTCTACAAAGTCCTTGCATGACACACCCATGTAATTCAGGCTGGTCATAAAAACTAATTAGATTTACCTACTTTAATTTGAGGCATCAGCGATTGGTTTCCCATCTCATTGCGGGTTATATCCTGTCTAATGATACAGTCCTGTAATGGATATTGACATGATTAAAATGATGCTAAAGCAGTAACAGGGAAAGAATGTATGTTGTAATGTTAATGTTTTATTTGTTGCCTGTTGTTAATTCTAGCCAAATTAGCAAAGACCTTTTGACTTTAGTTAGCACCTTCATTTATTCATGTAATGTTTAATATCAATCGTTCAGCTTATGAAACAAACTTCTAAAGAAGAAGCCCTGTTGAAAAAAAAAACAGCATATGCTGGTTATGTATGTTTTGTTATGTTAAGCAGCATATGCTGGTTTTTTCAACAGGGAGAAGAAAACATGCATTTTGAAGTACGATATCTAGTACGTTACACAATACATTTTAAAGTCGTTTCATCTTTGTTTTCTTTCTCGTTAAAATCAATATTGCATGTCTAACCTGACCAAGGTCTGTGGCACTTTTATGTTACTTGTTAGCTCAAAATGGGCATGCTTGCTGATACAGATGAGCTATTTCTCACACCTTTCAGACAACTGAAGCACCCCAGGAACCTCCATTGCTTGGAGATAGTTGGGATGCAGAAGCTGGATGTCTTCTATAATCTTAATTAGTCATGACTGTTGTGTCTTATTTCATGATTATCTTATGAAAACCAGCAACTCTCCATAAGCATTGCCACCGCCAGCCTGTGCAACACGTCTAAAACACCCAACAGATGGTCATTACACAAACAAGCTAATTTATCTCAAAGCCAGCAGTGGGGAACAAAGAAAAGTATTTGACTTAATGTAGCAGCTTGACGTTGACTTGCAGCTGAGCTTTCAAACCGGCTCAAATGAAAGATGTCTTGTTTTCATTAATTCTCCAGCAGAGAAAGCTCTTGTTTGTGAAATTGAAGTCAGACGATAGCACTGATCATTTATCAAAAGCCAAACGGCCTGTTTCATGATTGGAAACTATTTAAAGCCATATTGGCTCCATTTCTTGCATAATGGGATAGCTACCTCTTCCACATTCATTTAGCTAATCAGTTCAAAGTTAGGCTAGAATTGTATGTGCGCGTACTTTATGGACAGACAGTTCATTGTAAGTGATAGACAACCTCAACTTTTATGAATCTTGGTTTGGTAAAACAAACAAACAAACAAACTTGACTCTATTAACACGAACCTGTTGTTCGGGTTTTTGGTAATCATTACTCGGGCCAGTCAATCAAACCAGTTGTCTGTGCTGCCACCGTGAGGTCATAAAACCACAGTGCAGTAGAATAGAATCTGTTCAAAGAATAGAAGTCTCCATTGGACCAATAACATATTTCCAGTGTTTGTTGAACAAACGTTGATAGGTTCGTTTCAGTCTTTTTCCCCCCAGAGAGAGAGAGAGAGAGAGAGAGAGAGAGAGAGAGAGAGGACACTTGTATCACAGTGTTCCACTTATTTACATTTCATTTAATTAAATAATTCGCATCTGAAAGTGAAAATAAATAAATATGAATCATCATCATCATCATATCAGTTAAAAAAAATCTCCGTATGATGCACCTAAATAAAATTCTCAACCAGAAAATGTTTATTTTATTTTGCACCAATTTGTCACAAACTTTGGTACATTTTTATATTTTTCAAATTAAAGTTTGTTGAGGAATCTAATAATGTCAAGTACAAAAGATCTTTGTTGTTACAACATACGCTTGGACATTTAATAAAAAATGTTTTCGAATTTATAGTAATAAAAACAGTAATATATTGTGCCATCTCCCATTACCACCCCATCCACATTTTAAGAATTTTGATTAAAAACGTAAACAAAATAGGCCGTTTAAAAAAAAAAAAAAAAAAGAAGAAGAAGAAAATAACAAATATAGTTAGAACAAATAGGCTAAACACAGGCTAAAAACAATGCTTTATTTAAAACAACAAAAAATAATCTTAGCAAGAGGTGTTTTAGGATGTTAAAGTATGTTCTGAAATAATTACTTTCTTATATTACAACAGAAACTATTAGAATTAATGCTATAGTGAGGGGTTACAAACATAACGGCAGAGGCGGACAGTAACTAAGTACATTTACTTGAGTATTGTATTTAAGTACACTTTTTGAGTATCTGTACTTTACTTGAGTATTATTTTTTCTGGGAACTTATGACTTTAACTTTCAGTACATTTGAAAGACAAATATTGTACTTTTCACTCCACTACATTTCTATCAAGATCCTCAAAGTAGAAAGTCGTTAGCAGCTTTGAAAGTCAGTGGGTGATTTTTTTTCAGACAGTTTATCAGTAATCACTCTTGTAGGGCTACATGAAGTGATTTCCGAGCATTTTTTGAGCACTGACCAGTTCCAAATGTGATATTTATTTACAACAATTCAATAATGTACTTTATCCACCTCTGCATAACGGCAATCTAGATTTCCACTTTTTCAAAAACATAGTTCTAGGATAAGCAGCTATATGCTTATAATAAGTCCATTGTAATCAACGATAAAACCATGGATGATTATGAACATGGTTAAATACATAGATACTAGCTTCATTTCCATGGTTGAAAATGACAATGAAATAAATGTCATAACACAAATTTGTTATGAAAAACAGTTGGCAAAAATTATGGAAGCCCATTTCTGCCAAATAAGAAAAAAAAATCATGCTTTGGTAAATCCTAATTATGACATAAAAAGTTGAATCTTTGACATACTAAATCATAATTATGAGATGAAATGAGACGTGGTGAAAAACAGTTTCAAACCTTCATCTGTAGTAAAGTCAGTATCTTACGGCCTCTAGTGGCTCATTACTGTAAAAGAAAACGCTAATTTCATAGGAGTGACGCGGATGAAGTTTGTCCCCTGCGAGGCGCCATTCTCAATATCCTTTCCCCTTTCCTAGCGAGATTTCCCTTTAACTGTTGCTGTTTTTAAGTTTTAAGTCCAGTGCCTTTGATTCATCATCTTTTAGGCGTCTTAGTTATATTCTGCGAGTAAGTGGCATGATGTTCACGTCCACCGGTTCGAGGGGATTGTGTAAGTACAGATAAAATCATCATGTCATGTAGATCAAGCCCTGCTGTCATTCATTCAGATTAAAGCGTAGTCATCACGACCTTCATCTGATTATTATCGCTCTTCACACATCATCTCTGCCTTCAAAACCTTTTGCTTTGGCTCATAATGTAAGACAGGAAGTGCTTAGGTTTTCACAGGGAAATGCGACATGACACACCGCTAGACAGATGGGGACCGCATAAACTTTTCTTGAAAGCACCATAATTAATCAACACCTTCCTGATAAAGACCTCCTAAGAGCTACAGTTTACCACTGACTGATTATTATCAATGTAATAATGACAATTCATTTACTTTCAAGCCTGTATGACTCTATTTCTTCTGTGGAATACATTTTTTTTATTTTAACTTGGTTTACATTTTTAAATGGCAGTTGCTCTATGAAAATCACCACAGTAACCATAGTTTCTGAGATATAAATAAGAAAAGTTTGGTTCTTAATGGGAACAGATTTGGAGAAATTTAGTATAACATCACTTGCTCACCAATGGATCCTCTGCAGTGAATGGGTGCCGTCAGAATGAGAGTCCAAACAACTGAATAAAAACATCACAATAATCCACAAGTAATCCACATGTCTCCAGTCCATCAGTTAAAGGGATCGTTCACCCAAAAAGGAAAATTTGATGTTTATCTGCTTACCCCCAGGGCATCCAAGATGTAGGTGACTTTGTTTCTTCAGTAGAACACAAACTGAGATTTTGAACTCTAGCCGTTGCAGTCTATCAGTCGTATAATGCATGGCAATGGTAACAAAATTTATGAGAGTAAAAAAAACATGCACAGACAAATCCAAATTAAACCCTGCGGCTCGTGACGACACATTGATGTTCTAAGACACGAAACGATCGATTTGTGCGAGAAACCGAACAATATTTATATAATATTTTACCTCTAATACACCACTATATCCAACTGCTTTGAGCGCGCGCATGGCATCCGGTGTGTACGCGCTCTGGCGTAGTTTACGCAAGCGCCGG